TTCGTTCTGAAAATTTTGTATTTTTTCCCAATTTGCAGGAAACTTTAATTAAAGCTCCACATTATCCATAAACAATATCAAGATTGCTTAAATCATTTTTAGCTCCCGTGTATGCAAAGCAAAAACAGGAAGGCATGGTAGCACTGTTTCTGTGTATTAGGACATGCGTGTGTCAATTTGTTCCTAGTCAAATGGCTAAAATCAATTTAAAATTTGTATACACATTTTATAGTATAATGCAAATCTGAGGTAATTGAGCAGCTCATTCACGTAATTAATGAGTTTTGGCTATCAAGAATTATAGCCATCTCCATTGGTGAAACATTGCTCTCTTCCTAAATTCCTTGACTTCTGTTTTCACCGGATATTCATTCCAATGATCCGTCACTCAAGAAAGATTTTGAAAGAAGTTACAAGAAATATCAAAGTCTTTTGAGGAAACAAGACCAGCTTCTCAGAGGTTAGAACTGTTTTATCACTTATGGAATTTCAGTACTGTTAACTAACTGGAATAAGTTATGGAGTGTATGCTGTAATGCAATAATTTGATTTCTAAATCTAGTTTCCTATGGCAGGACATGTAGAATTATACCGTATATGTATTAGACTTACTTAGCTTAGGCCAAAATAAAATTTATGTGGAGCCAGACTTGTATTCATATTATTTGGTACTGTAAAATGACTAATTTTCACTGGATTTAAATGTCGCTGATTTACCATTTTAGGCATATTCAGTGGGTTTCAAATTCACGGTTTTATCATTTAGATAATGTGTTCTATGCTAAATTTTACATATTCACTGGGTTTAAATTTCACTGATTTACCATTTCAGGCATATTCAGTGGGTTTCAAATTCACGGTTTTATCATTTAGATAATGTGCTCTATGCTAATTTTTACATATTCACTGGGTTTTAATTTAGCTCATTTTCCAGTCAGCGAAATAAGCAAAATTAAAACCTAGTGAATAATTAACCCTTTCACAGTACCATAACAAGATAAATGTATATGTTAAACGTTGTACATTTATTAAATAACAATCTTGAATACAAGCATTCAAAATAAACTTTAAGGTGTATTTGGTTCAACAAAACATTCTCTGAAACAGGAAACAAACATTTCCTCATTCTACCATATGTGGCGCACTTCACCGGTATACATAAATAAAAGTTTTGCTCACAATGATGATAAACCAAACCTTTGGAGGAAGGGGTTTAGAATGTTTCTGACGATTTTTACTTTGGTATGCTTGACTTTGCCATCAAGCAATGTGAATTTATTGAGAAAATTCATGCAGAAAGTATGATCATAATTTCATATACGTCTTGTTTTTTTATTTACAAAACTGAATACATCATAATCATCTTTGTATGTGTTCATGAATGAAATCTGCAAAAAATTTACTGCTTTTTTCTGAAGATTTTCATGAATTTGGAAAATTCCAAATTTTTACACACACTCAAAGGAATTTTAGTTTCACCTAACTTTACTCATATGTATACAGTCCAAGAGGTATTTAAGAAATGCTTTATAAATTTATTCAATGATATATTTTTTTTTTGGGAGAGGGTCAAGTTCTTTAGTTTGATACACAAATAGCTAGGATGCTTGTCTGCATAGGATGACCTTATTTTAATAGTCAGGTCAATGTAAACTTACATAGGGCTGGCAGGATATGGGGTTAATATACTTTATATGTAGTACATGTATGAGCGTAACCATTTGTCTTATGTCAGTTATAAATATTTATAATTATAAATAAAAACATACCTTAGTGCCAATGTATATCAGTATTTGTGATCACAATTGTTCGAAATATTAACTTTCTTTCTATTTCTCTCATCAGTTTCATTTTATTTACTGTTAAATCTGGCGGAAGACATGAAAGTTGAAATGAAGATGAAACACAAGGACGTGATACCAATGTTAGTGAAGACTCTAGAAAGAGACAACTTTGAATTATTAATATTAGTCGTCTCGTTTCTGAAAAAGCTTAGTATATTTGTAGAGAACAAAAATGATATGGTAAGGGGAATTATTATTTCAGTCAAAATAGTCTTATTTTATTTTTAATTATTTCCCACAAGAATTATTTAGCATTTATTTAGTTTTGCTCTTTGTTAATAAAAACAAAAAGAGATTAAAAATAATACTAACCTGTCTGAGCAGGTTTCACTAATCAGATTATTAGATTAACGATCTACATTTCCTGTTTTATATTTCGAGTGAATTTTTTAAATGAATATCATTATTCAGAATAAACTTTGGAGTATTATAGAATGAACTTCTACTGCGGGAACTTTGTTTCATTGCTACAATTTTAGGCACAGATGTGTTGATGATGTGTCAGTGTATTTGAAATCAACACAGATATTAAAAAAAATAATATGAGGTTATTACAAAGATACCAAATAATCATATGAAGTTACTACAAGGATACCTCAAAGTATGTACAAAGACAGTACACCGGGAGTATTGACCAATGCGCAGCGGAGGTCAATTCAACAACGTACTGTCTAAGTGCATACTTTGAGGTATCCTCATAATAACCTTTTTATTATATATCTTTTCCTTCCAAGGATACATTATGGGAATGCCGAAATGCAAAAAGTTTAGAACAGAATCAACAAACTTTTTTGTAGAGTCCGGTCAAACCCTGGTGGCAGCCATGTTTGTTTTTTTATTATTAGATCTGACTCTTGTCCGCATAATCATTCCATATTTGGAATTCGCATTTCCTAAATGGTAGGATGAAAATACCCTGTAAAATACGCAAAATTACGGCATACTGTAACTTATGGCGTTATGGTGACAGATGTATAATAATAGTATATATGGTGAGGCTCTTAGTAAAATTTACACATGTATGGCAAAAGTCACCAGAGATACATACATGTGTAGCTATTATTATTGCCATGTAGCACTATACAGATATTTGACATCTCTTCAGAACCCTGTATGGAGTGTTCATCATTCAGTTGACAATTTTAAAAGTGCATTAGAACATTCTTTGTTTATCTGAAGAATTATAGGATTTTAAATTGTGGGAGCAAAACTTCACAGTGGTGTAGAAGTGTATACATTGTTGTATTTTAATCAACAAAATTATAATGTTTGCAGTGGTTATATCTGTTCGATATATAAGTCTGATTCTCAAAATGTTGTGATTGGATTTCATTTAATGTACTGCTATAGCTGTACCATACATTGCTGTGACATTATAAGCTTTAAGACATACAGATCAGCACAATTTATGAATGTTTCACCTGTTGTATACGCATGGGACCTAAATTGAACACAATCCTAGCAGGTTTTGACAGAAAGCATATTAAAACTTTCCAAATTGTTTATTTGTATCTTGTAATATAATACATGATTATTCGTATCACTTTCTAGGCGGACCATTGTATTATTGAAAAACTGGTAAAATTGGTGCCGTGTGACCATGAGGTAAGTGAACGTTAAGAATAAATTCATTTGCTGTGATCAAAGAAAGACACAACATTCTATAAGCATAGAGCGGAAGGGATCAGATGATTTGTAACATATCTAATTTCACAAAACGAACCCACTTCATTTATGACATGTTTGGTGTATTTAAAGCTATGACACATACTGTATTTGTTTTATTGGAAGCACGTCTCATAAATCAGCATAGTTCATTTTCCATTTCCGTTATGCGTGAAATCAAACGTAAAAACAGGACAAACAAAGGCCGTAGCTGCGTAGTGGCATTAAACATTGCATGGGATTCCACAAAACGCATTTATTTTGGGAGATATTTTCATGCTTAATAATGTGCTGTACACATTGGATAATGGTCAATTTCAATGAAGTAATGGTATCTGTCAAAGATTGGCCTTTTGACTTTGAGCTATGAAAAAATTTGAGTTCCAAAGCGGATTTTCGGTCCACGTCATTTACACAATGCATGAGATCTCACAGTTGAACGGAAAATTACCTATTGCAATTTATTATATGGATCATTAAAATGAATCTTTTTTTTTTTTACCATGGCAACACCTCTGTGTCATTTACGTAAGATAATGTGCTATGAATGGAACATATACGATGTAGTTTTTCTCTTTGAGCAGCCACTTGAACTTTTTGTCATGGTTTATTTGTTACATTTCTAACACTACAAATGTTTGCAATTTAATGGTTTGAAGTACATTCACGGTGATGGTATTTTGCAAATGTCGCCAACACCTTCAAAGTGAAATGTTCATAGCTACATATTTACAATGATATTGACATGAAAATTTGTCTTACAAATATAAAGTAGTTTACATTATATTCTTGTTACTTCAACAGGATCTTTTGAACATTACATTAAGGTTGTTATTAAATCTTTCCTTTGATGCACCTTTAAGAAGTAAAATGGTGAAGCTAGGGTTGTTACCAAAACTAGTGTCTCTTATAAGTAAGTAAACAGTTCTCATGTCACACTGTCTTAGATACACGGCAAATGTGATATCCCAGAGTTCAATGCATTTTGTACCATCCAATATACACTTTATCTTCGCATGAGGGCGCAATTTCAAATTGAAAGAAAAACTAGCATACACGCTATTACCATTCTATGACCTCAATTGACCCACCAGCCTCATTCCTAACTTGATACTGGAATTCTCATTTTTTTGATGTATTTAAAGTTTTTTACCCGGATCGTTTTAACCATTTCAATAAATAGTTATAGACTATAATTGATTATGCGAAATTACTGCATTTTTGGTGGTTTTTGGCCTACTCCTCTCACTGTTATGTTAGAATTACCGCGAAAGTGCCTCCTATGGATTGTCAACATGGCGGCTCACAAAGTTACGTTCGGTAAGTCCTTTTTTTTCTGTTTAACACAAGAAAAAAGCAATTTTTAGAAAATAACGTTCGATTTCTTCAATTGTTGGCGCCTTTTTTGTTGCAAAAATGATGGTCGTGAAAATGAAAAACGTAATTTTGTTGGGGATTTCGAGAGCTTTACAACGATATGTAGATCGACCATATATACGTTATGTCCCTCATAGGAGTAGTGAATAAAGTGTCATAATGTATTTTGTCATTATTTGCATACCAT